TAGGAGTAAAGTAAAAAGGTGGGATTAAAAAGAAATCTGTCGTTTGGGTGATCCCTTTCATTTGGGTGGCGGACCCTCCGTTAGGAGGGTCTGTAATTTTTGTAAAAAAAATGTAAGGGCCGGTTAGATGATGAATTGGTTTTGGATTTGATATTTACAATTGAAAATATATATTTCTTGGCGTGTTCGAAATATACGTATCTGAATGTAGAGACCTCGTTTTCACGTAGACAGACTGCTCAAACTGTCTGCATGCTGTGACTGTCTCCTTTGCTCTAGGTATCTAGAGGCATACAACAATCGACAACCCCACACTTGTGAGATGTGGGAACTTGTCGTCGTCGGGGTGTGATACCCAATAGTGGTAGGGAAAAACATGTAACAAACCGGAGTATCTACGCATTCTGTGGACATAAAATTTGAGCTTTCACCTTTGTGTTCCGTTTGTAGTTGTCGGAACTGAGCGGATGCACATTAGCTCCTCGCAAGAGTCGACAAGAGTTGCGGCAGAGTTGATAGAAAGCTGATGTCTGATCTATGGAATATGAGCATGTGGTGCTATGCAGGTAAGTGCAGTGGAGACATTGTGTTTATAGGAGGGAAAAGACAAGGAGAAAAGAACGAAAAGTGCGGAGGCGTGTACTTGTATAGTGTGTGGTACTCACGAGTGCGGGGTCGCAGTCTCGTCATTTCGAAGGAAACCGTTACTAATTTGGTTAGTACCTTCCACTTCTTCCTCAGTTACTACGACAACGGTGCAATTTCGACCGGTAGAAGGAGCCCAGACTCAAAGGACTACAAGTCTACGGGTATGATTTCCGTCACTTCAAACAATAGACCTAACCATGGATCTCGTGTCCCGGGTGGGAAGGCGGTCCCCCGGGGAAGGCGGTACCTGAGCTAGAAAAGAGGAAGATATTCTTCACTGGGGCAACCATCTACTACTACTACATATACGTACATATCTTCATCCACTCAATATCCTCCGTGCCAAGGCCTTAGAAGGCCCACTAGTAATCTGCCAGAATAACATAAAACCGCACAATGCAGGGGTCTTCGGCCCTAAAAATGCCCGAGTCCGAAAATTACTAATAACTGCACCCCTCCCCAGTGCTTTGACATTCGGACGAACAGCGGACGAAGCTTTGAGGACAAATTGTTACAAATCCATCCGCTTGTATCAATAATTGATAATGAGAATTGCAGAGAAGAAATGAGAAGATGCGAATTGAACAGAACCGATGGAACCTGCATATAAAATGGAAACCCATCGCTGTAAATATGATCACAATCGTCATTCCAGCTTCAATCACAATTGAATCCCAACAATGTCATCCACGATCAAACCCATTCAGCTCTACGGTGGAATCGTTGGCCCGAATCCCCTGAAAGTCGGAATCGTCCTCACACTCCTCGAAGTGCCATTTGAATCCGTTCCAGTCACATTCGCTAAAGTCAAGGAACCTGAGTATGAAGCGATCAACCCCAATGGACGGCTACCTTCGATCCATGACCCAAACACCAACTTGACCATTTGGGAGAGTGGTGCCATCATCGAGTACCTCATAGAGCGCTATGACACCAATGAACCCCGCAAGCTCAGCTTTACACCGGGCAGCGCAGAAGCCGAGCTTGCCCGGTCGTTCCTCCACCTCCAGGCCACTGGTCAAGGGCCGTATTATGGACAAGCTTATTGGTTCAAGATCTACCACGCGGAGAAGGTCCCTAGTGCAGTGAAACGCTATGTCGACGAAGTCAAACGCGTGACGGGCGTGCTTGACAAGTGGTTGGGCAAGCAGAAGGAGGGAAACGACAAGAACCTTGGGGATGGTCCTTGGCTTGTCGGCAACAAAATGTCGTACGCTGATGTAGCGTTCATTCCTTGGCAAAAGGGGGCCCGCGCAGCACTGGGTGATGGAGAGTTCGACGCTGATGAGTTCCCAAATGAGAAGGAATGGTTTGCGCGCATGATCTCAAAGGAGCCCATCAAAGCTGTTCTTGATTCTTCGGCTGAGCAGATGGCCAGTATGTCGAAACACTGATGGTCTGGGACTTCTACGGACATGTAATTCGAGTATAAAATGTAGTTACACCGCGAGAGAGCAATGTAACTAAGCAAATGCAAGGTTTCGGTTAATATAACTGCGCCATAGTGTCTAATATCCTTGTTCTGGATTTCTTCATCCCCAAATTAAGCTGGTATGGATAGGTGACTAGCACCCATGGATATGTGCACAAACAGAAAATAACATCATCCCAAACTCATCAGCAGATTGCAACCACCGCTCAATCTTCTCCCGTCGGGCGTCTGTCCCAGTCTCAGCAGACCTCCACAGCTCCGATATCTCGAGCATCCCATCCTCCCAGCGAGACAAGTGCCGATTGTATGCTCTTTCCCAAACGGCGCGGTCTGAAGCTTCCCAGAGTATTTTGCTTTCCGGGGCCATGGTTCCTCTCAGTTCTCCAGCAACAAAATTCGGCAGCCCGACCTGAGTATTGTAGACGTTGGTGAAGAGATACATGGTAAAAAGGGTACGACGCTTGGCAGAGGCGACGATCCATGACTCCCAGGTGGGTCGGGTGTGGGATTCTTCTGCTCTGCAGATGAGACCTGCTTTGGCGGATTGGAAAGCAATTTGTTGCATTTCTATCAGGGCTTGGGAATCAAAAGGGCCGGGTTCTTCGACGGTGTCTGTACGAGGAAAGAAATGCATCGTCATGAAGTAGATGAGATATGCCTGGAACGAGCATAGGCTATCAAAGTCGCTTCGAAGGGCATCCTGTGTTATATTAGGCTGGCATGCAACGAATAATAAGGTGCCAGCATACCTGGTTTTCAATCTTTCTCATCTCTCCTCGCATCGTCCCGAGAATCAAGGGTTCACACCCAGGAATCCGAGTCAACCACGCCCGAACCAGGGTGAAACAATAAGCCAAGACAGGCGGACAAGTCCCCATCTGTTGCATCGAATGAACAAAAGGCGGCGGAGTTGAGTTGAGCAGATTCCTAAGATACGATTTCAACACACAGGTGAGATACTGTATGGTGTGAACATTCAACTGCTTGGGCTCTTGGACCGTCGAGCTTGAGATGTAGGGGCGTAACCAGCGATCGCGAATTTCCTCTGCATCGATCATGGGCGCCAAATCAATTTCCTGAAAGTTCAAGACAGCAGTGGCATCTTGATGAACTGGTCCAGTATCTGTAATGGTAGGGTAACTCGGGGTATGAGATACATTTCCGGTGCTTCTAATCAGACCCTCTGGCCATGTGGAATCCAGAGATATTGCACCAGAAATAGTGCTGAGAGGGCTGACATCCACAGTGGCGTATTGATTATCTGCATTAGCACCACTTCTCGGTTTCACGTTTGCTGGATATTCGCAACTAATGCCTCGATCTCTGCATCGCTTGCATCTCGGCTTTCCGAGATCACATGCAGTTTTGGCTTCTACGCATTTTCGACATGCCTTTCTTCGCGAAGTGCGGGGGATACGAGATGAAGCAGGGGTTGCTGGCCCGGATCTGCCTGAGACTTCCTCCATTGTGAAGATGAAATACAATCGGAGAGAAGCTCGGAATTCCGTGGAGATTTCCGGAGTTCCGCACTAAATGCCAAGCAATGAAGTCATCCATCTGGGCACCTCTTAAAGCTACTACGTAGTTAGCAGGAATGTTGTCCAGGAAATAAAAACACGCATTGTCTTCAGTTCGGCTCTTTGTATATCTCAGACGTTTCCTGTTTTACATTAGAGCCAGTTTGGACTTTCTAGCTCTCTCTCCCAGTTAAGTCCTTTTGACTTCATGGTTTAAACGCTTATAGTTCACTACATAAAACTTCAACACATGTTCATAGAAGTGGAGGAAACAATTAAATGCCTTAAGTTGAAGTCGTTGAATTAACCTTGGTTAGTTGACTAGTAAATTAAAAGGCGACACCTGAGCCCTACCGAAGATCATTACGGAATTCCGAAGCAGGTCCAGATTCCCCCACAACTATAAAGTCCGCTGCCGATCTCACCCAAACACACGCCTTCAACCAAAGCGACAATTACAATTGCAATTACAACTCCGACCACAATTTACTAACTATGCCTCAAGTCTACACAACAGACCACTCAACCTCAGTGCTCCGCACCCACAGCTGGCGCACAGCCTCCAACTCCGCGCCATACCTCCTTCCACATTTGAAACCGGACATGACAATCCTGGATGTGGGCTGCGGACCTGGCTCTATCACAATTTCCCTCGCAAAACAGGTCCCATCCGGACATGTCACAGGCGTGGAATATGTGCCCGATCCACTAGAAGCTGCGCGTGCCCTTGCGCAAGCGGAAGGCGTGTCGAATGTTACGTTCCGAGAAGGAAATATCCATGCCCTGCCATTCGAGGATAATACCTTCGACGTTGTACATGCGCATCAGGTTCTACAGCATATCGCTGATCCAATTCATGCGCTCAAGGAAATGCGGCGAGTCGCCAAGGACGGCGGTATTGTTGCATGTCGCGAGTCCGCGGAGTTGAGCTGGTATCCCGAGTCCGTGGGGATTGCTAAGTGGCGAGAGGTTATGGAGCGCATGCAACTTGCTAAAGGTGGCAATCCGCACCCTGGGAGGATGATCCATGTTTGGGCGCGGGAGGCTGGGTTTGACAGTGGGAGAGTGAAGCGGAGTGCGGGGGCTTGGTGTTTTGGGAGTGATGAAGAGAGGACGTATTGGGGTGGATCTATGGAGGAGAGGGCTAGATCTTCTGGGTTTGCAAAGAATGTTGTTGAGGAGAGCTTTGCAGAGCCGGAGGATTTGGAAGTCATTGCAAAGGGGTGGAGGCAGTTTGTGGAAGATGAAGATGCCTGGTTTGGCTTGTTGCATGGGGAGATATTGTGTTGGAAGTAAAATGGAACAGGTGTTGTCTTTAAAGATGGTTCGGCATTCAAAAGAAATGATAGTAGAGAATATCTCGATGCAATGTTAAGGAATAGCAAATGTAATGATGGAAGACCTTCGCAAAATGCAACCCTCGACCCTATGAATCTTAGAAGAACGATCGACTGATGAGAGACCTTCAAGCAACAGCCCATGGGTGAAAACAATCACCAACCACCATCAATCACTGTCATAGGCCTCATAAGCCTCTTGTTGGTCTTCACGGCCCTGCTCGTAAGCTTCTTCGAGATCTGATTTATCCGAGTCGCCGCCTAGAAAAATAATTAGCATGTGCAAAAACAAAACGGTCCAATCACAGCGAAAAAAAATCACATACCAAACTCATGTTCAAGCAAAGCACCGCCAATACCACCGACAGCCAAACCAGCAGCACCCGCTGCGAGATATTTCCCAGCGTTGCTGCTCTTCTTCTCAGGCTCTTCGCGCTGATAGTAGCCAGGGCTACGGTCATCGTAAGGCACAGGTGCAGGTGGAGGGCCCGGGGGAGGCGCATAATAGCCACCCTGGGGCTCGGGAGGAGGAACGCTGCGAGAGCCATCATTGTACCCAGAGTAGGCAGGCTGCTGGTAAGGCGGAGGCGTCTCCCACTGGGACCGACCAGTGGCTTGTTCTACGTAGAATGCGCGACGGGTGCTGGGCTCCCATTCCTGGACCCAGCCCTGTGGCAGGGGAGGTGGGGGACCCGGAGGGGGACGGGCTACAGGCGGGGGTGCACTGTATGGGCCTCGGTCGTATGCTGGATATCCATCTTGGGGAGGGCGCGCATAAGGATCAGAAGGTGGGCGCCCGTAAGGGTCGTATGGTGGACGGTCTGGGGGAGGGCGAGCATAAGGATCGCCGTAAGGTGGAGCGTACGACATAATGAGTGCTGCTATGGAGAGATGAAGGAGGGAAGAGAAAATGAGTACGACTGAGAAAGAGGGGAGCGAAGAGGGCTTTTATGGGAAAGAAGCGCAGAGAACACCGTTGTAGACCATCACCTTCCGACCAGAACCGAAAGAGACAACTCCACAATCTGTCCAACACTAGGATTATGCCCCCACTTCTAAGGAGTTACAACTATATGTTAGCGCCCAAGTTAATGTCTGCTCCGATTAGGCAGATGCAATATAAAGGCTCCACGAGCCCCTGGAGTGGACAGAATAGTCGGATTGACAATCCCATCGCCTTGCAGGGCTAGCCAGCCAAATGACCAATTGGATTTCAGAATGCCAAGTGACCCCTGTGCAATGTTAGTGTGTCACAATAATACATATACCCGTGGACGGAGTAGAGGGGTTGCAGTCAGATCAGGAGCGACTTTGCTCCACCCAGGAGCTTGACTATTTCCACGGTCTAGTCTCGGACCATTTGTATAAAAATGGGTCTATCTACATGTATATTGGCAACGATGTACAAATAATACAAAATAGGGGTCATATTGCCCGCAGTGGAGAGTTCCCCTCTATAGGGGTATGAAGGATTGCGGGATAAAATCAACCTGTCGTGTGCCACTCATGTCTCTGCGGAGCCACGATGTGGCTCAGGCAACCGAGTTATCGAAAACACAGCCACTGACTGTCACACACGTGGCTGGTGGATATAGGGACTGGGGCTTGGCGCATTTAGTTCTCTACGAGGGGGTGTGCTCCGACAGAACTACTCGCGATTGGTTTCAGAAATATTGAAACACCAAATCAGTACATGGCTGATGTAGGTAAGTCGGGATCAAGGGCGCCACCTCACCACGTAGCTAGAAATGTGAATTGATGCCTTGTCATTTCATACTAGATATGCATCCGGTGTATACGTATGTTGCACGTACGCGCCGGCATCCGAGCGTGGACTTTGGCTGAAATAATATGCGGAACAAGAGCGGCCTGGACCCAACCCGCCGGGGCCATACGGGTACCGCGACGATCGGCCACATAGGGCATTTCCTCGTGATCCATTCGATGGACGTTGCTAGAGCAGTTGATGTACTTGAAGATCTCCATATATACCAGCGAGCAATACGAGAAGAATCTTTGGGAAAGGTACATCGAATGTATTCAATGTTATTCCCGCTCACACTACATGCACTACTACAAACTTGCCTATCAGAGGAGTAATAACAGATAGTTCGAAGGAAGCGCGTTATCATACTTGTGTATGTATGTAGTAATTGAATGGCGCTCTAGCGTTAGCAATCGAAGGAGACCATGCACTGCCGTACCTTGACGGTCAAAATGATCCATGCTCAACATCCCATCACCATTGGTTCAAGATTATACCCCTGAGCCTGCGATAACACTTGATTCCGTACTAGGCGGGTAGAAGAACGCAGATAGGCTGAGGGAATGTTTAGCACATCGAAACGACATGAAGGATAGGGATAAACTCACGCGATGATGATATAGGCTGCAATTAGGAGGACACCCTCTAAATAGTTGCTTCGGCCGTCTAAAACGAGGAAGTTGACAACGAAGGTCGTCACAAATAGACAAATAGTCTCGAACAGCGTAAAGTACAGAGACATGTCCTTGTCCATAGACCAGCCCAGGATGACGACCAGCGGCGTGACGAAAATAGCTGTTGGAACGGTCAGACGTGCACATGTAGACACCTCATCAGGAACCTTGGAATGGATGGAGTCTTACCAATTTGAATACTACTACCAACGGACACACCAATCGACAGGTCCATCTTGTTCTTGGCGGCGACACTGACGGCAGTAACGTGCTCAGCTGCATTGCCGACGATGGGCAGGATAATGAGACCAATGAAGGCTTCGCTGACACTTGAGCTTGCGATCATTTCGGGAATAGCGTCGACCAAGAATTCAGCACACACAGCCACTAAGGCAGTGGACAGCAGGAGCATGACAACAGCAGCGGTACGTGACATTGTGGATTTCGGGGCTTGAGAAGCTATCTCCGGACCTACGGCGTCATCCTGCCCAGTTAAACGAGAAGCACCGCGGGCAAACTGCACTGCGTTTCCGGCCGGCGGAGGACGACTGATATGTGCGGGGAGCGAGTTGCTGCGAGAAATCCCTGGGCGCGAAGCAGTTGCCCCGATACGGGGTGAAACCGCTGGTGACTGGGAGCTGAAAACAGTGTTGGAAAGCAGAGACGGAATAGGTCCGAAAGGAGAACGGCGTTTCGGAGGATCATCCCCTGCGCCTTCTAAGCCAGCGACGTTAGAGGCGGATGGGAATCCCTTGAGGGCTGGCTGTTGATCGGACGAGGGACCGCTGTCCTCGGGCGCCGCGATCTGAGCCTTTTTCTCTGCTTTCTGGGCCTTGCGCCTCTTGTGATCCCGTTTCCTCGACTTCTTGCTCGCACTGCTGTCCATACGGCCCAGTGCCAAACCAAAATCGCGAGAACGGACCGTGGAAGAGGGCTGAACGTCATCGTCGGCATCGTAACGAAGTTCATCACTAAGTTCAATTTGGTCTTGGCTGCCAATGGAATTGGAGACGGAACCGTGATTTTCATTGGAGGTCGATGCCATAGCCTTCTTCTGGAAGGAGTTATGGGAGATTGTCCCTTTCGAACTTGTACTTGACTTTCGACGCCTGCGATACTTCATTGCTCTTTTGATCCGTTTGGCAGTGCTCCAGGAAGTCGTAGTGTCGTCCGACTCATCACTGGAACTAGATGAAGAATCTGAAGAGCTGTTCATGAATTCCGCCAAAACGCCGGGTTTGGATTCTTCATCAATGATGGCTTGGGGGATACTGGCGTAGAGATACGAGTGTGTTCTGAGCTGGAAGATGATGTAGAGAATATACACCAATAGAAGAACGACACTGGTACCACGGCTGACTTTGAGCGTTTCGTGATCGGCGTTAGCGCCATCTGACCACGATGCGTGGAAAGCAGTCGGCAAGAGAAGACTGACCACACTCAAACTGAGCAGACAAGCACTCATCTGAGTAACGGTACTGTTGTAAATCTGTTCTCGGAAGCGAAGGCCACCAGCGAGGAAAGCCATACCCATGATCAACAACAGATTGGCGAGAATGGAGCCGAGAAGCGATGCTTGGACGATGCGGATCTCATTCTTCACCAGAGCGATGATGAAGATGATCAATTCGACTGCATTTCCAAAAGTGACGTTGATCAAAGCTCCGACGGTGTCACCAAGGCGACTGGCGACACTCTCCGTAGCATGACTGAGCAGTCCAGCCAGGGGAATGATGGCCACTGCATTCATCGCGAAGATGATGGCTGGGTCAAGACCCGCGGCCTCGCAGGCAATACCCACCGGTACGAAGATCAGCAGGACATTAATCCAGCTGTGGCAGATAGCGTCCGCGGTATGGTGATAAAAACGGCCGGAGCCATTTCGCATACGGATCAGAAGACCCGGCTTTGAGTTGGTTTCCGAGACGGACCCCGGAGTAGGGTCCTCCACTGGCACATTCACTTGTCCATGTTGAGGAGGCTTTTCGGGATCAACAGGGTGGGCGGCCTGTTGGGAAGGAGTCTGGTCTGGCAATCCGGTAGAAGATGCGTGAGCTTTCGCCCACGTGTGAATCTGGTCTGTATAAGGGAACATTGTTAGCCAGATATACCGGAGTGGAGACGAGATCTGCGGATAGCTGTAGCTATAGCTTTGAGCCCTCTCTGGATACTACTTACGCATGTATTTCAGAGGAAAACAACAGATGAAAGAAGGCAGCAAGCCTTTGACGACAAGACAGTAGATGAAGATAGAAAAGGTGAAGCCGACAGATGACACGCGAAGTCTTAAGGGGGAACTGGAAGCTTGGAATCGGGCCAGGCTTATTTTGAGGCCTTGGCAGCTTGGCATGATGATTTCCCAACGCCACACCCTTTTCCCGTTTTTTTGTCTCAGGCCCGGAGATCCTCACTAAGACCCTTCCAAGGAATGTTTTGACAACATTTGACCTATGAATAATACATTCTCAACCTCGCGTCTTTCGTCACCCTATACCATATCCCTGGCATGATGTCAACCCTGAAATGCTCCAGGGGCTACTCCATACTCCGTATATTGGACCTCAATATCCAATTAATCAGACCAATGACGCGTTCTCCACAAATCTCCCTATAAGGATGCCAAGGTTGAGAGACCGGAAAACCGGGTCCATGACCTAGCATGTCAACATCATTGGTGAGTTGTTCTTAGGATCGACCGTCAGGCTGCCATATTTGGGTGTTATTATTATTGGCGCTGAGGTTCTTGTTTTCGCTTGTTCCGGTCGGATGCTTGTCACACTTTAGGACGCGCTTTCTGCACACTCTACATCGATGTACGACGTGCGTTGTACGCGCGCGCTGTCCTCGACTTATGACTGAGAATGAGTTTGCATATATTCTCGGAACGGCTTTACACATGTTCAACTGTCCTACGGAATCCAGCGCATGCATCTCTCGATGTATGGATCTACGTCTACTGCGCCTCGCGGTGTTTTGGCCGTGGAGTTTCAGCCCCACAACTCCATATCCGCAATTGTGGCTGGCTGTGTTAGGTACCTACATAGGTACGAATCGGCACAATCTGCCATCCTTGGATGTTACGGGTGTTTTCTCCAATCTGACAAACTGGATGATCCCCCGTCAAATTACGGAATCACCGGTCCTGCACGTACGGGCATCGAATCATAACGAGTGGACTCTTGGTGTCATCAGCGCGAGACTTTGGGACGCAATGCATATAATGCAGTCTTCAGGTCGTCTATCTACGTCGATGTAGATATCAACAATAAGAACATGGCTTGTTCATCGAGGTCCTCGGAATCTGAGTGCATGTTTTCACCATACTTTTCTCGAGAGATATTTCATCAATACTGTGGCTGCGATTGTGCCACATCGGTATTCTGATCAGCATCAATATGTTGTCGCTATTTGGGCTACAAAACCTTTGCAACACGACGAAGTGCTATGGATGAGTTCGCTCTTTTGATTTGGGCAAACAAGGTATGGCATTGTGGAATAGATGAGTTAATTATTCAATACATAGTCTCTAGCATCAATATACGCTAAATTAGATATATCCATCAGCCTCAACCATCTACAAGAGTTTGTATTTCGTAGCCGCGGCGATGCAAATGACCATGAATGCCGCAAAACCACCGACGATGCCAAAAAACCACGTCAGCCCCTGGGCATTCTCGCCCGGGACAGGAACGTTCATTCCCCACAAGCCCGTCATCAGGTGGCACGGCACGAAGATCGTAGCCAGGAGAGTAACCTTACTCAAACCAGAGTTAATGGTCAAACTCAATCGGAGATTTGTAGCGCTCATCTGGGCTAAATAATTCGCCTGGGACCGACCAATAATCTCATCGATGTGTCCAAGTGTCGACAAGGTTGTGACCAAATGGTCCTGAACATCACCGAGATATAGAAGTAGATCACCGTCAGGGAAAACAGGATGCTTATCGGGAGATTGGCAGCGCTTCACGAATCCGTTTAAGACATCGACCTTGCCGTTGAGGCAGCGAATAATGTGACTGATTTTCTTTCGGAGGACGTCGACCTGCGGAATAAGAGCATGTGCGTCGTCGATACGACTGATGAACACTTGATCCTCAATTGCTTCGGACTCACGCTCGGCGTCCCGGACAAATGGCTCGAAGCTGTCGATGATATCGTCTCTACAGATTAATTAGCCGTAGATCCATTAAATACGGGGTGCTGAGCGGAGATTTGATTGAACATACATCATTGCGTAGCAGACCCAGTCACTAGTCAATATAGTGGGATCATGCATTTTGCGAATTCGCTCTCGCGCCCGAGCCACATGTCCGCAACCACTAGGCGAGAAGGTGACCACACCATATTGGAAGACAAGAATGTACAATGCAGCCGAGATGGGAATTGCCGGTCGCTCATTCTTGACGTTGTCCACCACAAGGGTCTGGAACGAGATCAGGTAGTAGTTCTTGTAGACGTCGACTTTCTCTCGAGGCTCACGAATAGCAATATCCTCTGCTGTTAGGGGATGGATAGACAAGGCTTGCGAGACGGCATCGACATCTTGTTCAGTGGCATCGCAGATGTCAATCCACCAAATTGGCTGGTTGGGATCTGGACGACTTTTGTGCTTCTCCAGGAAGATGTGGTCGATGTTTCCGCTGGGAAAAAGGCCATCCCACGTAGACGAGGCGGTCGCTTGTCGCGTTTTTGACGAAAAGAAGCTAAACCGATCAGGCAGCACCTGGTCGATTTCCAGCTTCTTTTCTTGTTCGGTCTGCATCTTACTGGCTGTGGACCAGAATAGTGGTGGGTGAAATGGTTGGTACCCTAGGCGGTTGATCTGATGCCATCAGATGTTGATGGTTCTTTTAGGAAGGGTGCTCCGTATTCTGGAATAATCGAACTTCCATGAAGACAACGAATCTGTTCAGCCCATTATTTTCCCTCGAATTGGATTCTCGAGGAGATGGGATTCGTATCAGTTTTCATAGGAAGAGATGACCCAGGAAAAGAGGAACGGGGAAAGAGGAAAGAAACCTTCAACCACGTGAAACACGTACCAGCCCTACCCGTTAGCCGCATGCACCCCTCGGGAAGACCTCGGGATGAGTCAAGGGAACTGCCAAGATAGTACTCCATAGAGTTACATGGCACATATCCAATCATTTTGGGATACTACGGGGACCTTGGTATCTTCGTTCCGAACTTGATAGGCACTTACGTTAATAGATTTGTTCGTCTATTTTTACCTAATATGTAGCAAGCAGGATTACGGAGATTGAGAATACCGTGTTTCTAGAATGAACTGGTTGAAGGCTGTACATTGTATACGTCTACTATTGTAGATCCTCTGATCATCAAGATCTTCATACATATATATATGTTCTCGAAACTCCATATCCCCGAAAAGTGAAATAACGTGAAAACTTCAGACTTTACAGCCAAAAACGCCTTCGAAATACCGTGCTCGCTGCACAGCGCCATCAATCCGAGACAAAAGGGAGCGTCAGTGCATTTCCGTGGACCCGGTGGCAGTTGATATTACACCCCGGTGGCATCTTAACACACGGTTAGTGATTGAACGTAACCGAGCACATTGAATACATGTATGGTCATACCGTGCTCTGATCATCATTCAATCTTTGATTTCCGATTCCTGCGAGTCCCTTTCACGGTCAAGGCTGTACGACTTCCGCAGTCGCGGATACACGAGCCCAAAGAATACGATGACCGCTAGCAGAATAACAAAGGTAGGCAGAAACATGAAAATAAAGAGGAACACGCTCAATCCGAGGGTGAGATCCTGCCGACGAGGAAACCGACGGGCCATGATCTCGAGGACCGAGTACATACGGTAGCCAAGCCGTGAATGACTGGTTCAGTCAATTTAGATAGGAAAGGAAAGATTTGAGTGGGAATGATCTCATTGCGATCGGCGTGGTCGCGCATGTTACCCGATATACTTATAGCGACAGCGATGGAAGCGCCGGATATGCACCATCATCCCCAGCATTGTGGCTCATGACGCTGCTTGAGCAAAAGCTGTACTCCGTAGTAGTCGGCGCTTGTAAATGTTGATGCCTGTGCCATTGTTGCCGTCATAAACTCAAGTTTTTCTAGCCTCCACTCTTGGCGCCAACGTTGTCCAGATACGTTGGAAATTTTCACCGCAAATAGCAGATTTCGATAGAATGTGGGTTTCCTTAAAATCATCGAAAATCACGGATATGGTGCCGAGAGTGGGCGTAAAGTTGTAGGCAGCAACATTTTGCTCAACAGTTCTCCCCTGCCAAGGTAGAATCCTTGTACAACATTGTACTTTGCTGAGGAAATATCCCGGCAATTTGTTTTGGACCCGACAATAGTCCTTTCAACGATTGAATTACCCCGAAGATCTTCCCCTGTGTTCAGCCCTAGCAGCCAATTCCTACCAATCCGACAAGTGCACGCGAAAGTGCCCAGGTGGATCCAGCCCTGTGATGTTGTAATCATCCCTTGGAAAATGACCCTTCGGGCCAGGCACAGTGCAGGTGTTTGATCAGCTCATTCGAGGATTTCGACTTCGCATTCGAAATTCTCTTGACCAGAATGTAAGGGGGTAGGAACGCGACAGAGAAGTGGCGATCGGGACATGCGTATCATTGGCAAACTGGATCCTCATGCAATCAAATTGCCCTCATAGGGCTGAAGCTTGACTTTGCGGGGCTGACGGTCGGAATCGGATGATAGGGAATACGTGTAATTCCAGTAATTTCGACGGTAATTGTAATCGGATAGGGGAAATCTGGAGATTGGGGTTCCTGGCTGGGTTGGAAAGGCAGAGAACCTTGTTTGATCAGCATACCCGTATACCCTGTATTTCCACTACGGAGTACTCCGTAGTGGAACCAGAATAGAAGGAAGAAGAATCAATACAATATAGACTCCGTAGGTAACAGCGTAATTGTGAGGCAAACTTCCCCCACATTTTCCCTTCTGCAGATGTAACGTCTTTAACCACTTTAACCTTTGCCTTTTACCCTCCTCTTCTCAACAGGCCACACTTAGCCTTCCAATATGTCTTGGCTCGCGAAGTATGGCAATGGTGATGAAGATGATAACGACAACCTGGGTGTGGATTGGGTACTACAATATGAGTTTGGAGACATAGGTAAATGACATGCTTGTATGGGATATCCTTGGCCATCTGCGTATACTGACGATCATCCAGATCAAGCTCAAGCTATTACAGAGTTTCGAACACTTATCCACGACCTGGGAGAGGCTGGCCTTCGGGTTCAGGTTCGTCACGGCCACGGTGAAGCGCTATTAGTTTGTATTCGGGTTCCGCGGGATCATCTCGGGAACTTAGTACACCAGTCAAGGTAAGTGGCATTTGAGAGGTCTTGGATGTCCTCTGATCTGATTCTTGAATAGCCAATTAACATATGACAGAATTAAAGACTGGCTGTTTGGAATTACGCATATCTTACCGGATGGCGATGAAACGGCAATCGCTGACGCCGAGACACCATCCGAAGAGATCCGATCGGTATATCACGCCGTTACTTGGCAAAAGGAAATAGGAGGTGCAGGCATCACACCAGGATTTGGGAAATGGAAGAATGTCACTGCCTCTTTTCCGTTACATGACCAGGAGGCCTGCGCGGAAATGCTACGTCAATGGAATCGAAAGACTGTGTTGACGACCAGCGATCTGGATGCGATTCGAGCCTTATTTGGCGAAAAGGTATTGTTCCAGCTCGGCAGCTCTTGGGTGGGCTACATTGTGAAATTGTGGCGAACAGCTAACCCTGTGCAGGTCGCTTTCTACTACGCTTTTATTCATTGCTATTCGCTATTTCTCGTGGTGCCCGCAGCATTGGGCATTCTTGGATGGCTATACCTAGGTCCATATTCGATTGTATATGGGACTGTGCTTTGCGCCTGGTGCATTATTTTCGTCGAGTACTGGAAGATACGAGAGGCCGATTTAAGTCAGAGATGGGATGTCAAAGGTGTTGGACAACTGAAGGTGAATCGAAGGCAGTATGTTTGGGAGAAAGAGGTCAAGGACCCAATCAGTGGTCAGGTGAAACATGTCTTCCCTGGTTGGAAGCAGTTCATACGCCAGCTGCTTTTGGTTCCTTTTGCTTCTGTTGCGAGTGTGGCCCTCGGAGCTTTGATTGTTGCATCCTTCGCATCGGAGGTCTTCATATCCGAGGTATACGACGGTCCATTCAAGGGATATCTGGAATTCGTACCGACTGTCCTGTTTTCGCTATCCCTGCCCGCCATAACCTCGTTTCTCACGAGCATCGCAACCCGCTTGACCGACTACGAGAACTACCGAACGCAGGATCAATATGATCTTGCCCAGACTCAAAAGAATTTCGTCATGAACTTTATCACCTCTTTCCTCCCCACGATATTGACCGCCTACGTCTATGTTCCCTTCGGCAAACAAATCGTCCCACACCTTGACATCCTCCGAAGAACGGGGTTCAGGGCCGATATCGTCAGCGGACGGAAGGAATTCGAGGTTGACACAAGCCGATTCCAGCAGGAGGTGATATATCTCTCCATGACGGCTCAAGTAATTAGCTTTGGCGAGGAGATCGTCCTACCATATGTGAAGCATGTCTTGAGGCAGAAGTGGCAAAACTATCGGGATCGAAAGGCCGAATACGGCCGCAAGCGGACGCACTCTACAGCGACCGGTTTGTTCCTGGTTGACCCGCCAGAAGAAGCGGCATTTATGACAAGACTGCGTAGCGAGGCCGGCGCAGAGGAATACCATGTGGAAGAGGACATAATGGAGATGTGTGTACAGTTTGGCTATCTCGCATTATTTGGAGTTGCCTGGCCACTCGTGCCCCTCGGCTTCCTGCTAAACAACTGGCTGGAGCTACGAGGTGACTTCTTCAAGCTCACGCTGGAGTGCCAACGACCACCACCAATCCGGTCTGACTCGATCGGCCCATGTCTACTGGGGCTGGATTTGTTGGCTTGGCTCGGGACCCTATCTACAGCAGCCATTGTGCATGTCTACCGGGGTCCTATTTCCGAGGTTCAGCTCTCCTCGCTCCTATTCACGTTGTTCATCGCCGAGCAGGTCTACCTGGGGATGCGATTCACTGCCTCTACAGCCCTTGAGAAGGTCTTTTCGGACACGATCCGAAGAGAAGAGGCTCGTCGGTATGCAGTGCGCAAGAACTATCTTGCTGCTAGTCTGGCTAGAAACTCCTCCCCCAGTTCCGGCTCCCAGGGTTCACCGAACGGTCGCAACCGTCACCGGGTGCGTTTCAACGAACGAGTCAATGTGTACAGCTCGATCGAAAAAGACCCATCGACCGAGGGTCCTCCATATCCGATGAAAGAGGAGCCTGGGAATGATGTGCTTCGTGGATCTGACCGTGAGGCCCAGTTTTGGAGCGCTCATTCAGGGGACATGGCAGACGCAGGCGTCAAGCTAATTCGCGCATTAAGCACACCCAAAGTAGGGGATGGCGTTAAATCTTCTAAAGAGGCATAGATATTCAGCCTTATGTATTTTTAGACCATATTTTTAGTTTCTGTTACATCGCTGCCTGGGAATTTCTATGTATAGATCGCCAGACCACTAGACTGGCTGTAGCACATAGTTTTTGTAAGTAAGGGATCATACCTAGATGTATTTCCACTAGTGTATTTCATACGTAGGGACTCCGGACATATGTACATTATACACTATTACACCGTACTAATAGACGTACACGGACAATGGTCTCCTGCAAAAGCATATCCTCAGCCCTATAGGGCTACGCCAAGGCGGGTCGATCCACCCGTGAACTTTGAAGGGATTCCCTGGCCTTACCCGCTTGCGTGTCTTTTCCACTTTGTCTCTTTGTCTCTCTGTCACTTTCACTCTTTACTCTTTGTCTTGCTGTACTTCCTTGCTTTCAATTTAATTTCCATCCGACTCTCTGAGCCTGGTTGTACAAAGCATCGGTATGGATAGGCCCCCCTTGTGAGCTTCTCCTTCCTACAGTTACCCGCATACCAATTTTACAATGGTGACCCCCACCACCTCCTCTGATACTTTAATCACTCCTCCATTTCCCGTCCACATCTCACAGTCAACCTCCAAGCCCACGACGGTGGCCATGGATATAGACATACTGTCGCCGGCCGAGTCTCCACCACCTGTGGTCCCGAAACTCCTCCGTGAAGCCAGTGACATCACATGGCAGGAATCTCTGGAATCTAAAAAAGGCCAGGTTGTGCTAGTCTGGCGGCACGGTCGTTTCCGCCTATTGCACCAGCAGCAATTCAAAAACAGCTTGCTCGCCGGTGTCGGGTACCTCGAGCTAGCTAACGCCGGTGACTTCGCTGCCAACGTCTGGAACCAGGTCCCCGTTCCAAAGTTTGCTGCTGTGCTTATGGGAATTGGGGGCGTACTGGCCTTGGGAATGATGTTGGTTGCTATTCATGATTTTCGACTGAGCTGGATAAATATCAAGCTGCTGCGAGCGGAGCGAGATCAGCTGCAGCGTCTGCGCCAATACCACGCCAAGAACACGGAGCTAGCTAAACTCCTTGACAGCCGGCTTGGGGTGGGAGTCCGTGAAATTGGCACTGAAGTTATTGACCGGATGCTGATGGATGCGCTGATGGGGTTCGGCTCGTTGTTGGTCGGCGTTGGCACTTTGATGGCCATTGGCGGCGCCAACCCCCGCGTCTTCAAAGCCAGTAATCTACTTTCTGGGTATATTGGAAATGGCCTAGCTGCAGGCTTTGGCCTTGTCAATGCCGTCTGGTCTGGCTCTCTCTTTTATCGGTTCCATGTGCACGACGCTGCTGCTTTTGCCCACGAGCCCAGTGACGATATCCGTCGCCGTCTGCATACTCGGTTCCGTCGCTTCCAATGGCATGCTGGCGTCAATGGGATAACTGGTCTTATTGCTGGTGCAGCTTCAATGGTCACTGCCGAGCGTTGGTGGGGATATGTTGTCCTGATCCCGTGCATTATTTCTTTTATCCTATGCAACTATTTCTGGCGAAAAAAGCTGGGTTATGATCGTGCACTTCTTGGAGATACATCACCAACAGAAATACAGGTGACCTCGCTCATTGAAGACCTACAATACGTGATTGTGATGCAGCGCGCTCTCGCCGATCCTGAACATTCCGTACCGCAGGCCATTGTCCAAACCGACTCCTTGGACTCGATTCTTCGCTTCATTGTCCGTGAAAATATGCTTGAAACCTACTGCGAGTCCCTCGCCCGCGACAAAACCACCCGCCATCTTCTTGCCGCGTTCCCGTCCCTAAACACTTCTCCTGGCCAAATTACCATCTCCCTCGACACCCTCGTTCGCCTTCCGCCCAGCCACATACGGCTAATCCTGGAGCACGCAAAGAAATTTCTACGAACGACTGGTGTCTGCGTCTTCACATATCGCGAACGCTACCTGCTTGAACTTCTGGGTCACGCCATTTGTCAGGATCACCAAAAAGGCACAACAACTACACAAGATGACACGATAGAGCACGCTTAATATCCTCGAGGCCCAATTCTACTACCGTCCCATAACCTCGCCCGGTGCTCATGAGGTTGAAGCAAGACTGCCGGCGGCTGGTCGCTGGTCGGTCTTCATTTTGTGCATATTCGTATCGTATTGCGGGATTCTTTTCCCTATTACCCCAGAAATGCTAGACTGGAATTTTTAGCATACAGCAGGTGTTTTTTTTAATAATATATTATAGATTGACTGTGATAACCCTCATATTTTGTATCATGTTTCCCGCGATGATCTTTTACTGCGCCCAATCCTCCCAGACGTTGACGCCGAGGTTCCGCAAAGACGACGGGAACAGTGCCTTGTTGTGTTGAAATCATTACCGCAACAGCAACCTACCAGAGAACGAACTCCTAGAGCCATAAGTCCCCAGTAGGTATAACCCTATCTTCTCCGTTCCTGGACTCCTCTCTTTCGTTACTCAACCACGAGGATGTGGAAGGCTGTTTGCAGCAAATGAGCAAGAGTCTCATCGTGATTAGTGAATATAGGCAGACATCTTTCCTCAATGATATGGGCAACAAACCATACCCTTCGTCAAATTCCTGATAGGGCTTATATTACAGTAACTTCTGGTTGACTAGAGATGACATGTGGCTTGATCCCTGTGATGATACCGTGATTGAGTCTGATGGTATCAACGCTCTCTTCCTCAAGGAAGCCCTCAGAGCCTGCCACATATTCCCAGGTCAGCATCGGTGTGAGCATGCTACATGCATAGATGCCAGCCGATATTACATACAAATGATAGATATGTTCTTTATTCCTTCCTTTTGTTGTACATATAATCCCCAATATCAACATCAGGCTAAAAACCAATTTCCAACGGCATACCAACAGCCTAGAAACTAAACAGTCCGCTGCGAGCCTTGCCGTACGGGTAGACCGCAAGTGCGGAAATGAACAAACCAACCGTAATGCCAATAGCAACCTGGATCATACCAAACCCTAGACTGAATACAGAAGTACCAGACTGCAAGCCAGCCCCGGGCCCTGAACTACCACCACCATGCCCGACGCTTTGACGAATCTCATCCGCGGACTGTACACCCGAGATTAGAGAGCCCGTCGCAGCAAGCCCAGATGGAACCAGAACGAAAATGCCAGGCAAAATAGCGGTTGCAGCATGGCCATGCCAGAACCGACTGTACATGTTTCCCATAATGCCGATGACAAACGCGCCGACTGTATTCGCGACCTGGGAGTTTGATCCCAATTTCTTCGTGCAGAAGTAGTTGCTAATGTAGCCCGCCAATGCGATGACAGTCATGGGTGGGAGCTGTTTCCATTTTCCTTGGTTGATGATCAAAAGCCAAACTGTCATGATCGCAACAAATGGGAACCGTTGAACATATGGATTCTTAAAGGCGCCCTTCTCTGGACAGGAGGTTTCGGATACCGCATTGTTGTCTATCAGTCCATAGATGGTTGTGCCAACGGTGATTCCATATCCGATGAACAGCGAAAAGAGCAGAGCGTAGACCATCCGAATGGAACCCGCGATGATCTGATGGGACTGAAGTTCCAAGCTACTACAAAGAACAAGGAATCCTGGCAATATCAACGCAATCGAGGATTGCGCGATTGCAGAAAAGCAAAAGAGGTACTGTGGCTTGCCATCCACAACTCCAAGGGAGATGGTCCCGAAGGCTCGGGCGAGGAAAGACGTCAACACTGTCGATGTCACTTCAAAGACATTTGAATACAACGCCGACCGAGGCGAGGCGACAAGTTGCATCAAACCGACAAGTATACCATTGAGAAAAATGATCGGCATGTCAATCGGCCTAGCACTGAAAGCGAAAGGTCCCACAGTTGCAGTGGCCAACCCATACACGAAGACAACGAAGACTTTGTGATACTGAGGCTTTTTCTTGATGATTGAATCAATCTCCTGGATTGCTTCTTCAATACCAATCACATCATGGATCACATTCTTGTAGATGAGATGCGTGTCCGATAAGCGAGCCAAATCAATCCCCTGGGCTACACGAACCAGCTTCACCTCCGTCGTGCGGGTAGAAGGGTCATCGAACGACATGACCATGCAGCCAGGCAGATACAGGAATTGGCTATCGACCTCCAATACCTTTGCGGTCATCTGCATGTATTCTTCAAGTCTATGTGTAGGAGCGCCGAATAACATCAGCGCTCTGCAGAGCTGCATGATGTACCGCTGCCGACAGATAATTTCTGCAATGTGCACTGTCACTCGAATTTCATCCTCAAGTCGCATATTGCCGCGACCTCCTCCACCTCCACCTCCGCCTCCACCGCCGCCGCCTTCGTTGTTGCGGCGCTTCGACGCTTGTGACAGGACCTCGCTTGAAACAGGTGTGCTTGCACCACTGAAACTATCCGCGCCCCCACCAATCAAGGTCGAGTTTGACGTATTCCGAGGCTTTTTGTACCATTTCACCGGTTTTCCCTTCTTGGGTACTGGCGTTGTGGCCCCGCTGGGGGCGGATTCTCTGCTGCTGGAGGAGTCAGTTGATGTTCGAGACTGGTCTCCAGCGCCTTGTTGCTGACCACCTTGTTGTTGACCACCTTGCAATTTGATCAAGTGCGACAGGATCCCGCCGCCGCCAGAGCGATATCTAAAGTTCGGATCTGTTCCCGGCTCATTCTCTTCGTCCTTAAACTCGTTGTCGGGGTGAGGATAAGGCTTCGGACGACCTTTGCGGCGTTTTTGGGAATGATCTTGGGTCAAATCTCGCACAAGACGATGAGCTTCGGAGCTGCTCCCTTTCTGATGCCGCTGCTTCTCCTCCACGCTTTTATGCTTGTCATCTGTCATGTCAGAGAGGGGAACTGCACCGCCGGTCGCCCAGTCCGGGTGATACTTCCCGGCTGATAGGTCGTCTCCCTCGATATGTGGGCGACCCAAACGGTCACCGAATTCTGATGCTTTCTCCCTGAAATTCTTGGCCACAGCGCGCCATTTATCTCTCATGGAACGCTGCTGGGGGGTCTCAGGCTCCTCTTTCTCATTCTCCTTCTCCTTCTCATCTTCCCGTGGCTTGTTCTGGTCTTTCCTTTCAACGCCTGACTCGCCCTCGCCCTCGCCCGGATGTGGCTCACGGTCTCGCTGTGGGGTATCCGTAATATCCGCAGACTCATGGGAGTATGGCATTGTCGGTCGATGGGGCTGTCCTTGACTCAGAGCATGATCCCATTCTTCGCGGAGACCTGCCGCAGGCGGGTCATGCCGAGCCCCCTGCATAAAACCCTCATCTGATCGAAATCGAACTCGGGGTGATGGCTCCTCATCTTTTGGTCTGTCTTGTGGTGCGTCCTGCCAAACTTCGGACGAGCTTGTATTTTCTGGGTCCGAAGAATCGTTGAAGTTGAGGGTGGATGCTTCAGACATGAAGGCGACGCGTGGTTTTCACAGCTTCACCAACATCCAGCCTCCGATTGTTTGGGATGAGATGAGTTTGTAAATTGCGAATATGTTTCCAGTGCAGAATTTTGAAGCGCTCTCGCCTGATGTCCTCAGGACTTCCGTGCCAAACTGGTTATCAAAATCGCTAGGTGACCTCACGGAGACGTGATTGGGGTATACGTGTGAACCATGGTCGGCAATCAGCAAGGAATTTATTTTCGCGCAAGGCCAGCAATATAAGGAATCACCAACTCAATGGGATTATGAGCCCTTCCCGCCGGCCATGAGGTATTGTTTGCCGGTGTCGCCTCATCGGAAATCTATCCCACGCAAATCTCGGACTTGTAGGTTTCTCGCCACCTAGCACTGTCCTTCATCATGTAATTGCTCTAGAAAAATGTATTAGGAGCCGGAAAAAAACAGATTTTGACAATTTGGCCCATTCGCAATTCTTCGTCTCCAATGGTTGGGACATGGGTTGTAAACAAGCAATCTCAAGCTCCTTTTATAGTCACAATTTGCAAGAGACAAATTTCAGAACGGAGGACTTATCAAAGCTGGAAATTGTGTATGAAATCGTCGTAGGTCGCGCTGACGACTTGATTAGTGGCCTTTAATTTTTGCATGTTACGCTTGAATATATATCTGCAATTCTAACCTCTTGACAAATCTTAGCGTCAACGCAGTCTAAATATTTCGATCAGTTTCTATCAAGCTAAACATAAAGGACAACATTTCTGTAATGTGGAAGAAAGTCGAATGCAACTATTAAGCGTAGATTATTACAGCTGCAACCGAATGTATAGACTCTACCTTGCGAGGCAATGCTTATGGAGATGAAGCTTGGCAGATAACATTGGCAGGCATGGTGTGTGCCCCGACCGTAGAGAGATAACGTAAACCAGATAGAGACGATGCATACTTCATGCTGCATAGCTGCCGTTGGCATGGAGGTCCATATCAACACCCGTGGACCTTTGACCCAATGCAAGGGGTCGTATTATGCCGAAATTCAACCGATTGCCACGTGGCTAAGACCTAGAGCACCAGAAACATGTCAAATGACTCGTGTTTTAATGATAATATTGTTTTGACGTTGATTGTAAGCCTGCTGGTTTGGCATTGAGGGTGATAGAAATCAAGATATAGCTTTGAACTTCACCATTTTGATATATGCAAGGAATTATGGAACAGATGGAGAGACGTGAACAAGGTTCATGAAAGCCTTTAACGCACCTCCAGTGTGTTAAAATGATGTACATGCAGTTCAAGATGAACGCCGAAGTAACGCAACGGGGCCATAGCCATATGAGGTTGCAAATGGGAATTGACAATATTGAGAAGATTCACTACTTCAGTTCTACAGAATGGGACCCATGCAGTATTATAATTTATGCCTGGAACTCATTCCGCAAAGTTAACAAAGTCGGCACTACAAAGGACGTCGGGAAGTTATAGCGACGACATAAGCCCGCGATAATTTGCCCAGAAGGTTACGAATCCCGAGTCTTGCAAGGGGCGTCGATCTTCTATGGCCCTTTCAGCCGGACTATTCAAGGTACACGGCAAAGTCTATACACATTCTTCCTACAAGGAGATCTCTGTGTGCATTCCAAGACCGTCTGCATGGTAACTGTCGGAAAATCTGACATATGGCTAGGGGACCATGTTTATTAGAATCCATTCATCCACCTTTTCCCTTCCTACTCTTTTCTACCCACTTGGAGATTGAGGTCGTGGTTTGTTGTCGATTGAATATGAGGGGTTTCTCTTGTTTGGCTGCAGTGGCAGTCGTTGTGTCTACAGCGTCAGGTGCTATTGTGCCTCTACACTTGGTGCGCGCGTCTTCATCCCATGCACTTTCACCGACGGTTCATGCAAAATCATCATACAATTACTATGACTACCCCTTTGATTGGGCTCTTGCGTCTTCTTTGGCAGGTCTTACCGGTGCACCCCCCACGGCTACCGTTCATGAATATGCGAGTACCCCGACATCATCAGTTGCAGCAAATACTCCCTCCACAGCCACGGAATCTCCACCGAAGGCTGTTGATGCTTCGATAGCCACTCCTTCACCAAAGGTGCCTAGTTCCTCTTCGAAGATGAGACAGCCTAGTAGCACAGCGGTTAGCACTAATTCTGCGGCTCCAAATACTCTTGCAACAAGTACAAGGACTTCAACCCCATTGCAAAAGACCCACACTCAATCGACAAGAGCCAGTGTTCCGACTCCATCGTACGTGTCATTTCAAGTTTTCATAGGGTCATTGAATGTTAATCAACATATCCAGTCCAATTTCTCAAAAGGGCCATTCGCCCGCGACAAAAACCTGTGCTTCCCCTACCAGCAAGTCACCGGAGACCTACTGGCTTGACGAACAGGACCACAACCGACAAGGCGCAGGATTTGCTCCCTACGCTAGATCGTCTCTCTACCCAGTGTACCGCAATGTGATGGATTACTCAGTCGTCAATGATGGCAGTGGTAACCAAACTCCGAAACTACAGAAGGCCATAGACGATGATGGCATGGGTGGCAGTCGCAAGGGCCACGGTGTCACGCGGTACCCAGCCGAGGTCTACCTTCCAGACGGCGTGTACCAGCTTGAGAGCACTCTTAACCTGACTGTGGGCACGATAATTGTTGGCAATCCATTGAACCCACCGATCATCAAGGCAGCACCGGGGTTCCGTGGCGACTATCTCATCATGGGGTATGATTTACACAACAGCAACCCGGAAACTAGCTTTGCAACGCTTGTCAAGAACGTGATCATGGATACGACCGCTCTCAGCCCGGACCGCCACTTCACTGCTCTTCAATGGGGAGTTGCCCAAGGGTCAGGTTTGACAAATGTTAAGATCCGCATGCCAAACTCCTCCACGGGTCACACTGGAATCGATATCAATGCCGGGTCAACAATTGCTGTTACGGATGTGGTAAGGAATCCAAAGAAGCCCAAGGACAAGAAAAAAATCAGCCTAACAAAGTGTAGCATATTACTGGCGGAGCAATCGGGATCAAGAACTCCAACCAGCAGGTCAACTTCAAGAACATCTATTTCCAGTCTTGCAGAACAGCTTTCTCCGCGGTAGGAGGGTGGACGGTCTTGCTCCAACAGGCAACCTTTGATAGCTGCGGCACGGGTATCGATATGACTGGCAATGGATTGGGTAGCCTGGTGCTTCTGGATTCCACTTCTGCGAACTCGGGACCGGTAATCAGATTTTATGACTCGTCCCATGATTCCGAAAATCGAAATAGCCAGTTGCTCATCCAGAACCTCAAGCACGATACTCCCAATGCCATCGCGGTCGATGCTCAAGGCAACGTGGCACTGGCTGCTACCCCCTATGTCGATACGTGGGTCTGGGGTACTGTTGCTCCAGAAACTTACCAGACTGGGGCGAGCTGGGAGACAAAGCGCCCGGCCGCTTTGGTGGTGGGAGACAAATACTTTACGAAGCCCCAGCCCACCTATCAAGATTACAGCACAGCGGATATTGTAAACGTGAAGACCGTATCTGGACACACAGTCAAAGGTGACGGTGCGACTGACGACACGGAAGGTTTGAACGCTATTTTAGCTGAAAATGCTGATTCATGCAAGGTGACATACATCCCCTTCGGTGTATATCGAGTTTCAGACACCATCTTTGCCCCAGTCGGAACTCGCATTGTCGGAGAAGCATGGTCTGTTATTTCTGGATACGGTGACAATTTCAAGGATCCCAACAATCCGAGGCCTGTCGTTCAACTTGGGAATCCTGGCGACGTTGGTGTGATTGAAATTCAGGACATGCGATTCTCCGTCGGCGAAACCCTGCCGGGAGCCAAGCTTATTGAAATCAATGCCGCAGGTGATAAGCCCGGCGATGTCGGTCTTTGGAACACGATGGGGATGGTGGGCGGGACCGCTGACACCAGTATCTCCAGTGCTTGCACGTCGCAAGACCCCAAGGACTGCATGGCTGCGTTTATGGTAATGCACCTGACCAAGAGCTCGTCCGCATATATTGAGAACTTCTGGGGATGGACCGCCGACCACAACATTGATAGCGAGTCACTTCTCACTATTATCTCAACTGGCCGCGGAATCTTGGTCGAATCCACCAAAGCCACCTGGCTGACAGGAACCGGTTCCGAGCATCACTGGCTGTATAACTATAACTTCCACAATGCCCAGAACGTCTTTGCGGGTCTTCTACAAACAGAAACACCGTATATGCAAGGTCAAGGGGAATACCAGGCCGCACCGGCGCCATGGACAGCCGTCGCCAAATACGGTGACCCTAATTTCTCGTGGTGTGCTCCAGATGACCAAAAGTGTCGCACCGCAATAGCTACGAATGTCGATGGCGGATCCAATATCGCGCTGTACAACTCAGCTGCTTGGGCCTTCTTTGACGGGTACTGGAATGGCCTGTATAATGAGCCTTGCAACGGCAACTGCCAAACCAACATGATGCGGGTGACGAATGAACCTCAGAATCTTGTATGGTACTCGATCAGCACACGCATGACGGACGTGATGGTGCTTGATGGGAAGAGCAATCCCCGTCAATCGGACCACCGAGGCGGGTGGGAAGGCATCATCCAGGTTTACGGCCAGTTTACAGCGTGATGTTCGGCGTGTTGTGTTTTTCGCGTCATCAGAACTGGACATATGCATTTTGTTAATAGTTCAAATCATAGATAATCATTAACGAAAGAGTTCATGCACAATACAGCAGACCATGTCCCATTAGCCACCAAAGCATCTCAATGTTGTTCCCAGCATGTTCCGTCCTAGCTCCACCAGTGTTTTGCCTGTTTCCTTTTTTTAGCGTGTCGCCACTGCACGTGATTCAGTGTCTGCCTCAGGCGGAATAGTGGATTGACCTATGTCGCCCGGGCGCCTCCGGCAACTGAGTCAACCAGTCATGGTTTAGGCTGCTTTGCTGCCCCTTCGTAAGAAAACGCACTCAAATCTGCTACATGACGCGTCATCAAAACCCTTGGGCCATCCCCAGCCAACCGAAAATGCCACAGGGCCCGATATACTTGGAAATTATGAGTGGGTCTATTATTGTTCCATATATAATGACGGGCGCCGAGACTGGTTTATCCTGCACATGAGGCGACCCACTGTATCGGTAAGACTCGCTTTCATCTCATTGTCTACTCCGTATGGAGCATGGAATACCAATCATGGAACTTGTGGGCAGTTGATCGTCCTCCAAGCCACCCCTACGGGGCTGATTATGTGTCAAGCAGGGGGTCTCTGGTGCGAATCGAGTTGTTGGGACCGCCAAGGCAGCCAAAATATCCAAAAGATTGCTTATGAAGTGAACGTCTTTTTTGTGGCAATGGGCTGTGTTGCATTGCCCACGAGCAGGACGAACTAAGCTCATGCGAGAATATGCACGTCTAAATCTTGCACTGTGTTTTCGGGGGGAAGGGACGAGGGCGTCGAAACGGCGCAATACTTGTCTCATTACAATGTGGAACCCAAGATGACGATATTACTTCCAAAGTCGTATGGCATCCGACACGGTTCTCTTCTCTAACGCGGCATTCATACTCTGCACTCCGTACACAGCCCCTCCATCCCTGAACGGACCCTACGATCGACATGAGACTCGCTCTTCACAAGGCTGAGGTCATGTCGCCACTGCCACTTCGGCTGCCTAGCGTCCATACGCAACCAAACTCCGATGTTTCTATCTATAGGAAATAATGCCAATTTACCAAATATACATAAGGAGCAGCGGCCCCCGAATTTCCAGATTTTCATTTCAAATTTAAATCTAAATCAGCTACCAGCTAAATCACACAAAACCTCCCAATCGACCTTTCTTTTTCCCTGTCACCAAAATGAAGTTCACTCTGATCTCCTCCGCCCTCTTCCTGGCAACCGCTGCCATGGCCGCCCCCGAAGGGTTTGACGTGAACTCTATCGTCTCCGATGCCGAGGGTATCTACTCAACTGCCGTCAGCGGCGGCCAATCTATCGGATCCGACATCGCCTCAAAGGCCACCTCTATCGCCGAAGCCGTGAGCACCGGCGGATCCGCTGCCATCTCATCCATCAAAAGCGAAGCTTCTGCCGTCGCCAGCGAAGGCAGCTCCATCGGCTCTGAGATCACTAGCCGGGTTGCCACCGCCATTTCTGCTCAAACTACTCTGACTGACTCCGCCGGCTCGGCCACCGCTACCGAGTCCACTACCATGACCAGCACAATGTCCACCGGGTCTCCTTCCGGCTCTTCCTCCGCCTCTGCCTCTTCCTCCACCTCTGCCTCTGATAATGCGGCCTTCGCCCGTCCCACTGCTGTCGGAGCTGTTGCTGCTGGTATGGCCGGCGTGCTTGGTGTCATGGTTGCACTGTAAAGTGTTGATACTTTTGCTGCGTTGATTCTGGATTTGATTTCAGGCATAATATCCACTAGCCCTTTTCTTCACGACTTTCCTTAATTATTTGTTCGTCACGTCCCTCCTCGCATCTGAGAAAGGAGATATAATGCCGGCGTTCTTTTGAAGCTGTACATATATACCTTGGCTGTATAACCTACATCTTGGTCGACCATGTCGACTTATACCAACTCGATCAACTGGACATTGTCCCACGACTAATAGGCGTGTTCTAGAGCATTTTTATAACCAATTGAACAAATTCCTTTATTTAATCCCACGCGCTAGCAGCCTTTCTCAGGTATATAAAGTGAACAGATACATGACTTAAAGTCCCATTGAGAGTGATATCAAGGGCGAATATACAGACTCGATTGAGCAATAGTAATAAAGGCACCAATAACGGATGCAACCCTGTACAGGTTTTACATAGCACGGACGATAAAAAGACACAAACACCCGTTCATCACGGCAGGGATATCCCTCTGCAGCGAGGAGCTGAAAGATGGGCATATCGTGTCACCAGATTACTCCGTGTCGGAGAGCATGTCGTAGTCAAAGTACGCTTGATCCTTCGGTCTCTCCGGTAGTGTGGGTGTGGCTACCAAGAGGCCGTCGTCGCTGGGACCCGATGCGAGTAGGTTGTGAGTCCACGTAGCTCACGAATTTGTACCCCGGGTGTAAGAAACTATCCCACGCCGAGATAGACGTTGAGAGAAGACACAGAGAATACCCCTGAAGGTTAAATACATTCGATAGTCACATCCGGTGATGATGATATACGCGCTTGCCACCATTCGACTTGGCCGCGAACGGTATTCCCAAGAATGGACACGGAAATAAGGGCACGGCCTGTAGGTATTTGTGCCTTGCTTGTCGTGTCTTTTACCATCCGCATATGACCGCTATTATCGACATGCTGGAGGATGATAGATGGTTTCCAACAGTACATGTTTTGAGGAGTATAGCGCAGCTTAGTACTTGGATCATTGGCTTGGGTACAGAGGGTTTCATGGAGTTGTACAACAGTAACCAGTGCTGGCGACGCAGTGTATAGAAGTTCTGTCAGATGAGTCGTGAAATTGGTTGTTAACATCGTAAGTGGGACCGTTCTGATAAGAAATCTCGTTGCCTGTTGAAAACAGGTCCTCCCCGTGACGGTCATTGTTCTGCAATATTCTTTACAGGCTGTGACATGGCCGGAAGAAGGATTCAGAGTAGGAGGTATCGATGAGAACGAAGACGTCTGCCTCAATGCGAAGATGGATGGAATCCCACGGGATCCTAACGGCATGAGGGTCGATATCAGTGATGCTGAGTGGGTACAATGGATGTGCTTTCTTGGGGGTCGGTCCTTACCAGATTTCAAACTTCTGTTCTGTTTTACATACCCCATGGCCAATATAGTGTATTACGAACAACGTGCTCTGGAGCCAGGTGTTTCTACTGTCCATGTCATATTTCTGACGAAGTTCGAAAGTTGTCTCATATATCGCATTCAATGCCTCCTCCCAAGATATTGAGGGGGTAAGCAAAGTAGCCATCTCAAATCCATATCGTGTCCGAAATGTCTTCAGAAGCGTAGCTTGAGGTTTGGCCAAATCTAGGTCGTCATTGCTACAGCGTAGACCAAGAACGACGGCTTTGTTATATCGGCCCCTGTCAGGCTTACTATTTCTGACTCCTTTTTGCAAGGTTTTGATGACGCTGTCAAAATCCCTCTCTGGATCACTATAATGAGTGGTTGGGTGGCTTGGAGAGGGTTGCTGCCATTTAGACATAGTGGAATCTGAACAAGGACGACAACGGGCTAAAAATGAAGACAGTGGTGGGAACTATAACACGAAGTACACTTCCTTTGTCTGAAGACCGAAACTTCATTAACCCATTAAACTCTACCGAAACACAATCCTAGCTCAAGTTAACTTAATCTTCTTTATGTATGAACTAATCGGCCAGTGTAAAACCAGTTGAACACATATATGGATGTATAAAGGACTAACTGAGAGATTATTAAGGATCAACTGAGAGGTACACAAGTGGAACCGGATATCCATCCATGGATGTGCCTTGAAACCCCTGATGTAGAAGCTATGGAGGGACAAGGCCGATTTTGTAAGGGATATATCACGAGGACATCATGTAACGAAGGCGTATATCGAGAGAAAAAGCATCATTCTTTCTTACATGTATGATCGAAAGATCCGGATTGAATATTTGAGGAGAACTGTCACGATCTGGCCCAGATTGCCTGCTTAGTTTGCTTTGTCTTTGTTTACTTGCGTTCTTTCTTTGTTTAGCTAGAAGGTCAGGGTTTGCATTGTTTGCATTGATCGTCGGTATAAAAGCTCTCATGAGCTGGGCTAGATCTTGCTTCCTTTCTCTCCCCATCTTTAGTATTTTGAATTGAGTACTCCTTCTATAAAGACCTGGTTCATAACAAAAACGATACCGGACACTACGCGCACTACGCTCGCTGCATTGAAGGAATCTTTGCAGACGACATGGGCAGGATGTTGATCCCTCCAACACCCTCAGGACAATGCGCAGTGGACTCTCGCTGCCACTCGTGATGGGGTGGTAAATAGGTCTCTGCGGTCGTGCCACAGCCTCCAATCTGGGTCAGAAATTTCCGACGAGCAGTTTTTGCTCTGCAGAATGCCCTGCCCGCTCATCATTGCTCTGCAAGCGCTGAACCTTGCCCAATTCGGATTGGCACAGTACGTTCCTCAGGCGGCAGTCATTCTGGCAAGTCCAGAGTTCGCTACTTACATCGCAGCATTGTCTGCAGGGGACCGTCCTCGCGGGATATTTTTGTCTTTCCTTACGCCCCATATCCAACAAGCGCAGATCGCCATCGGCCCCCAGCGCAAACCACACACTCAAGCAGACCAGCTCGTGAAGCTGGACGAGGCGACGGCGAATCCCGCCGCGGTCAGTCTCTTACAAATGATCACCACCCTCGTCCCAGCTATCAACCACCAGTGGGTGATCTTTTTCCAACTCCGCCAACTACCGCAACGGACGGATCCACACAGCTTGAAAAAATGACACTCGGAAATACCAGTGACACTGATAGCGAGGGGGAAGTCGACCCAGATGAACAAATGGTCGCTTCAAAGCGCGTGGAGGACGAAGCTCTGCTGGCGCAAAATGGATTCGATCCTATATTTATAGAGGGAGAATACCCGGGAGGAATCCCCGAAGCAATGGCTGAGTATTTGCCAGAGGACCGCAAGTTCTCCTGGCAGATGGTCAGCTAAAATAGAAGCCTTCTGGATTTTCGGATACAAGGATATCGTCAATGTTATCGACGAACCCGCATACCTTCTCAACGACGAAATAGTCGGTGTGCCCAACGGAGTCCATCCGGCATCGTTCCTGTTTGCCCGCTATGCCAATGAGGATAAACTACTCCTCAGCAGGTAAGTTCAGGAGGCTCCATCCCTCATATGTCCCCTCCGGCCAGCTTGTGGGTCATGTCTTATGACACCAAAAGAGTTGCCAAGAATGCCCATCCCATATCCCATCCCATGTCCTTCCCATGTCCTATCCAAATACCCATCCAAATACCCACCTAAAGTATTTAGACTGACATTCCATAGTCCCCGCGGTATGGCTCTTTGGCCTGCTACAGGCAGCTGCAGCGTCGTTGATCCAACCAACAACAGATGAGGAGGCTTCGGCCAAGATAATCGACCACATGAGAGTGCAGGTGGAGGTTTTGGAGTAACAACTCCATGGCACGGAGGCACGAGTTCGTGATTCCGAGATATCCCGGGAGATTGAGAAGAAACGTCATGAAAAGGAGGTCCGACACCTGGACGCTCAACTGGCGACTGTCTCCCGGGGTATCAAGGAATCCCTGTTTGCGAAGGATCGGGTCCTCGGTGCTTGCCGCCAGTGGCGGCGCAAGTTCGAAGACCTGGAAGACTTGCTATTCGTCTCTCGATCGTCTTCCTCTGCCATCTTACTTTCCTAACCTACTTTTAGTTCCTCCATCTCTCATATCCTACTACCACCTCCCTCACACCTACCATAGCTCAGTTAAAGGGCAAGGATACCTCCCTAGAGAATTTTAGCACGATCAACATCACTACTAGCACCATCCGTCGGATGGAGGACTCGGCTCCCGCGCTCGCAGGTGTCCTTAGCTATCCCGACACCGCCAATATCTACCGCCTCATATCCGCAGAGTGCCCCGATACCCGCGATATCATCATCAACTTTTACCGTGACCGCGATAATAAGTTTGGCCTATCGGATTCTACCCAAGTCCCTCCCGCCTTACGCACCATCCGCACCTCTCTCGTTGTCCTTACTATTAACCATTCCGCCAAATACGCCGGCGTGCTCCTTGCACCGTCTCCCCCGGACATCTCCACCCCACACGTGGAACGTACTAACGTCTTTAATCTTCGCACGCTGTGGCACGTTCGCCGGTTTCTTCTCTCTCGCACGCAAGACATCGGGCGTTAGAGCCAAGTTCTATACACCCCCTTCTATTTCGATGCCAAAGAGACCCTCGTCTGTAATGAAGAGCTTATCTCCGAGGCTGCTCGCAAGGAGCTACGGGTATTGCAAAAAGTACCACGCCAATCAACATCTGGCTCCCTACACGTCTATCGTCGCCCGAGCGGTATCGAAAATCGTACGCGGTTCAATCACTCGCTACATGTCACAGTCTGTACATCTCTTACACGAGTTTCGCATCCAACTTAGCCTATCCTTCGCGGTCACCGGTCACGGAGAGTTTCCACCTTGAGATACAAAAGGGAGAAGGTGAGGAGCAGCATTTGGACAGGCTTGCTAGATCCTTCGTGGCCTTTGTTTTCCTGAGTCTTGAAGACGTGAAGATTCTGCACACACTCCGTATCCCACGCAACTCAACTCTGACGCAAAAATCGTCCGCGGCAGCCAATTTGCAACCTACTGCAAGGATCGTCCCAACTCTCCATTCCCCTGATATTGCAATTTCCTTGCGCAATTCGACGTTCATGGACCTGAGCAATCCGGTCAGCGCAACACGAGGTCGGCGAACTTCATGCAACAATTCTATCCCTGAGT